CACATCTTAAACTGCCCAAGGTTCTCAACTTTCTGTGGACTTCAACTCCCAGAATTCCCCAGCCAGCATGGATTCTGGGAGTTGAAGTCCACCCAAGCTGGCTGAGGTATTCAGAGATTGGAAGTCCTTCCTTCCATGCTGGGAGTTGAAGTCCACATCTTAAACTGCCCAAGGTTCTCAACTTTCTGTGGACTTCAACTCCCAGAATTCCCCCAGCCAGCATGGGTAAACTTTTGACTTCCCGAATTCCCCCACAGCCAGCATGAATTCTGGGAGTTGAAGTCCGCATCTTAAATTGGTCAAGGTTTTCAACTTTGCCTGGAACTTCAACCCCCAGAATTACACAGCCAGCATGAATTCTGGGAGTCGAAGCCCACTCAAGCTGACTGTGGTATTCGGGGAGTTGGTCCATCCGTGCTGGCTGGGGGCATGCTGGGAGTTGAAGTCCACACTTAAACTGGCCAAGGTTTTCAATTTTGGGTGGGCTTCGACTCCCATAATGCAACTTTAGAGACTGGCTTTTGGTCTTAATTCCTAACCTCCCCAACTCAAAGAGTTTGTTCTTAACCAGTATTAAAACTCCCTTTCGACTCATCCGTTCTTCGCTTGATTTGGATTTAAAAGCCTTAGTTTTTTGGGGTTCCCCCCCCTCCTTTGCTGGTTCCATGACTTCTTCCAGAGGGGTAGCTATGCATTCTGCCCTATGCCAGGATGGGTGAAAAGCAGGGGGGGGGGGTTGCAGGGAGAAGATTTGGGCAGGACAGGAGGGACCACCAAGAACTGAAAATTAAATGCAAAGCGTCTGTTTAGCTTTCGGGGGGATTTTTCCCCGTGGGAAACGACGCCTCCAAATGTTTTCCCGGAACTTGTCGGTCAGGAAAGGCCCCCCCCCCAAAAAAACGAGATTTTTTTTTGTATTGCATCGATCATCAGTGTTCTTCCTTTTAATTTGCCGCGTGGAGATGCCGTGGAAGCGGAGGAAGGAGGAAGGATAAGCCTTAAAAGACTCATAAAATGAACGGATTATTTCTTTTTATTTTGGGAAGGCGGATCTCCCCCTCGGAGCCCCGAGAGCCGAAGCTGCCCCAAGAACGCACTGAATATTTTCAAATTTTCACACACCTCCAGCAAGACGCCGTCCCGGGACTTGAGCACAGGTAGTCCTCCACTTACGACAATTCATTTAGCGACCTTTTTAGAGCCACGGGACTCCTAAAAATGACTTGTGACCGGTTTTCACTCTTACGGCCGTCACAGCATCCCCATGATCAAAATTTGGACGCTTGGCACCTGACTCGCACTTACGACGGTCGCAGCGTCCCAGAGTGACGCGATCCCCTCTTGCGACTTTCTGACGAGCAAAGTTTTGTCAGAATTCACTCAACAAAAGTGTTACCGACTGCAGGGATTCACTTAACGACTGTAGCCAGGCGGGCCGTACAAATGGGGCAAAACTCCCTTAAGAAATGTCTCGCTTAGCAACGGAAATTTTGGGCTCAATGGAGGTCGTAAGGCGAGGACTACCTGTGAGGTCCCTATCAGGGATGCTCCCCAGCCCAAATCCGAGGGTTGTTGGTGTGTCGACATCTACGGAAGCCAATTATTGTGCTCGGTTGCGTATTCACAACAATTGCGGTCTTTCACTGAAACCCTGCCTTGCCTTTTTAAATACAGAAGGTCCTCGACTTACAACTGTTCACTTAGTGACCATCCAAAGTTACAACGGGACTGGAGGAATAAAAAAGCGACTCACAACCGTTACCGTCATGTGATCAAAATTCAGAGGCTCGGCCACTGGCGTGTACTTAATGCCTGTTGCAGTCTTCCTGTGTTTCCTCCTTGGCGACCTGATACGCCAAGTCAATTTGGGGGGGGGAAGCCAGATTCATTTAACAACCGTGCGAGCAACTTATCAACTACAGTGATTCACTTAGCAACGGTGGCCAGATCGGTCGTAAAACACAGCGCTTAAACTCCCTTAACCGATATTTCATTTGGACCGAGTTGTAAGTCAAGGACTAACGGTATTGGATGTTTCCTTTCCCCCCCCTCCACCAGCTGTTTAAAAATGGGCGCAGGTGTGCCGTTAAGGTCCGCTATGCAAATGAGGAAACGCCTTTTGGGGGCGGGGTTTCCCCCTACACCTGGTTGGTTTCTACCTGGGATCGGCCGGGAGGCTTTCAAAGAAACAGCGAGACTGCATTGCGCTCGGCTTCCGTAATCCCATCGCGGTCCGTCTCCCGTCTGCTTCGAAATCACGCGTTGCGCTTCGGTGTCTCTCGGCTTGGTCCCCGGAAATCCGTGCAGCCCCCAGACTCAAAAATGTCGCTTTCTGAGTCCCACCCGAATCACTGTGGCTTCGTCCGATGTTTTGATAAAAAAGAAATCTGTTTACTGACGAAGGAGTTTGCGTCTTTTTCTTCATTAAGGGTCACGAGTGTCCAAGTGAATTGGGGAGGGGGGGGGAGATTTGGAAAAGATGGGGTTACCTTTCTCTTTTGGCCAATATTCCCATTATCACCTTTTTTTAACGACCCCATAATCCCTTGCAGGGGGGAGTCTGGGCTCTTCATTTTATGAATGAAGCCAGCCAGAATATTTACTGGCCGGATGCTCTGCATGTTGCCAATGCGGAGGTATGAAAGCCAGTTGGGTGGCAGGAACAATGACCAGGAGACTGTTGAGTTCTAGTCCCGCCTTAGCCATGAAAGCCAGCCTGGTGGACTTTGGAACAATCGCCAGGAGGCGGGGAGTTCTAGTTCTGCCTTAGCCATAGCTAACGCTCCTTCCTCATCTCCCCCTCAACATCCACCTTGTGAGGTGGGCCGGGCGGAGAGGGACTGGCCCAAACTCCCTCAGCCATGGGATAACCGTGGTTTCTTTCTATAAAGTGGATTGATGTCCTTGTAAAAGTCCCCAGGATGACAGTTTAGGCATTTCTCAGCTAACCAAAATTTAATCCATCTTTCTTTTCAAGGAAGAAACCATGGTTATCCCGCCAGATCAGAGCCGAGAATAGATCACAGTTAAGTTCACATACTTCGTGGTAAACCTTTTGTGAATTAACTCCGGTCCGAAATTCCCCGCAGCAAATATCCCCTGAAGATCCAAAGGAGAGAGAGAGCCAAACCAGAGTATTTTAAGGGTGAAATCCTTCGGGAGAATAATTTTATTGCGTGAGAACTTAAGAAGGTGCCCACAAGAAGCGCCAGGAAAATGAAATGACCGCCGTTGAGACAGAAGAAGGACCTTCGTTCTGTGGAAACTTCTGATGTTCTTCCACAGGGAGGAGGAACGGTGAAATAAGAGAGAAAAAAAACGTTTGCTGGTGTTACAGGAGGAGACTGAAACTTGGTGGTCTACCAGGGACACCTTCCCCAAGAGACCTTCTGGAAGGCCCCAGGGGCCACTGATTGATTCTCAACATGGAATCTTCATCAATTATTTCTTCTCAACACGGGTCAAAGAGGGTCTGTCTTAACAAACCGGAGGCCCATCATTTGTACAGCTGTTTATCTGACTCTTCCAAGTACTCCAGTTCCATTTTGAACGTTCCCTTCAAGATGGACCTCAAGGTTTCAAGATGGACCTCAAGGTTTCAAGGTGCACCTCAAGCTTTCAAGGTGCACCTCAAGCTTTCAAGATGGACCTCAAGCTCAAACTTTCAAGATGGACCTCAAGATTTCACGATGCACCTCAAGTTTTCAAGATGGACCTCAAGCTCTTTCAAGAGGCACCTCAAGATTT